TAATCATTTGTTTAATCTTCAATTACAATGATAACAAGAAGCGGGGAGAATGGATCTCCCTACCATGGACCCCTAAATGCCCTTAAAGAAATGTGAAGAGAACTACATTTGATCATAACAACAAAGGAGATGGTTGAAATGCAAATCTTATTACTTGAGAGAAAAATGGTTAAATTAATGTTAGGTAATAAGTAGTTGGGAGTATCTCCCTTGAGTGAATGAGTTTTTAAAATGTTTACATCAAAGTGAGAGATAAAAACAACTAATCAATATCACCCACATGTAGGCTATTTATTTTAGTTTTATGATATGATCTTTGGAGTGTGTGTAAACAAACAATTCTGGCAAGGGAACAAATTTCAAAGATCCAAGGGTTCAGTCTGGATCATCATAGTCAAATAATTAAAATAATCAGCAGCTTGGAGTATCTCCCCTTACTTTTTTAGTTTTTGAGATGTTTACAGATGAAAGTACTCTGCCGCATGTATAGACAGTTTTATTTTAGTTTATTTTGGTTATAGGGTTCTCGAAAAATGAAATCAACTTCACCAGCACTTTGAGGTGTTATGAGTACATCCTTTATAACTGATGTTAGCAGAATGAACCAGCTTCTAATATAAAGTTAAATTTGGTTCAAATTTTAATTTCATAGCATAGGAACGACCATATGATATAAATAGGATAAAAATTTGAATGAAAATAGCATTCTAATTAAAGTCAATAAAATCTTCAATTCAAGTCAAGTGTTTTTGTGATTTCTTCCTTGACAAGTGAAAATACAAACTTATGTTTGCTGAATTGAAGATATGAGCGAAGCTGGTTTAATCATACATATGATGTAGAAATTATGAAAAACTTCTAAATATTACATAACTTAAATTTAAGAATTGGATGAGAATAGAATAGATTTAGATCAACTGCAACATGAGTTATGAAAATAAACTGTTTGATACTTTTTCTAAAATTGTGGAATAAGTTACCTCATAAATCACTGCTGCTCCCCTTTGAGTTCCATCACCTCCAAGTATGTAAACCTGTAGTATAACTGAGATTATTCATAAAAGAATTCTCATATTTCTCACTTGCATAAAGAAATTTCATGTCAAATAAAAATTTCTTAAACAATCCTATCCGTACAAACCTCATTAATTTCACGATCTTGAATGCTGTCGACTATCTTTGAGGTATCATGGCCTCCCCGTGATGTTCCAAGGATAGTACCACCTCGTTTATGGATGTCATTCACAACTTTAGGTGTTAAGCTTATAGTATTTTTGGAATAAAAACCTCTGTATCCTCCCTGCGAAGACTCTTTAGTTACAATTATATTTTCTTTGATATTCTATTTCTTATTTAGTTAGTAGGCTTATTTTGTATTGTTTTTCTATTATAGTTGTGCGTAAACACCCCATAAATGAAAGATAGTTCATTAATATTAAAAAAAATTGCCTATAAGTAAAAATATATTAATACTTCTATTGAATTGAGTCACTAGCAATTCTGTCATTACAGTTGTGACAACTTTGCTAACTGCGAATTCCTGCTGCTGTAGATTAGAATTTTTTTAATAGCAAAAGAAGTATCATTAAAAACAAGAATGGTGTAATTACAATGACGTAGAATAAGTTATCCTTCTAAAGCTTTCTAGAAGAAAGCTCAAATCACAAAATAGCTACAACTGAACTAACAGAGGATCAATAAATTATTGCACTCTTGTCTCCATGTTGAGAAAAAAAAAAAAGCAATATTTGGAAATTTTCCATGGGCCTTAACCTATAGGAAATCGAAAAATATCATCATCTTCCACAGGTCTTGAATTGGAGAGGAGCGATCTTCAAAAATCTTAGTATTCCACTCTAACCATAGTGCCATAAACCCACAAAAACAGAACCTTGCAAGAGAAGTTTTAGCAACTTTTCTTACCCCACCTCCATAGAAAACTAGGACTTCGAGAAAAAAGGAGGTAACGTGGATTATCCTTATTTTCTTCTTCTAACTTTCTAAAGCCTATTATGTTGTCCAATACTAATCTGGTGCCAAAACTAAAATTGGTGAGGTTGCTCCATCTATTCACCCAGTTAATCCAAAATTGACCGAACCATTTGACTCGCCCGATTTAGACAGTTCCAGACCACTTTTTTACTGTTCTACACTAGTTCCAAAGGTTTTTGGGCACACCCTTTCCACTTTTTGACGATTTCATTTGGAAAATTAAACTACAACATATTTGAAAAAGTTCAAGCACTTCTATTGTAGAGGCTTTTTTTATGCTTTTAATATTAGGCATAGGTCTTCTGCTTCAAAATTTACTAAGTTTAGATTATTAATTAGTATTAGGTCCTTTCTGCATTCCTTTAAATTTTACCATTGCTGGAAGGAAAAAAAAAACAAAGAGAATATAAATATATTTTAATTCTCCACATGTCCATATTGATCAAAAGCTTGATAGATCTTGTAGTTTATCCTTCATAACTAAACTATATGTCCAGTAAAATATAACCAAAAGAGTAGGACTAGATTCCATGCACCCATTCAGAACCCTTTTTACCAAAAATTGTCAAACAGTGTAAGAGAAAAAAATGAAAAGCTAAGGGAAAGAGAGTTGCTAATGATTTGAAGATAACGTTAAAGTGAGGTGAGGGGTGGAAATTGCCTAATCTAATCAAGCTCAATCCCTCTTAAAATTTCTGCAAAGAAAATTTTGACTTATAGACAACTAGGAAAGCAGCATAGTTGAGAGGTTGGCTTGGCTTTGATGAGGCTAAGCTGTAGAAAGCAACTCGGCTCAAGAGGCGACTTGGCTCTAGAAACGGCTCAAGTCAAGACATGGCTTTGCTCAAAAAGTGGCTCGTGCAGGACTGCACTTGCGGGTTGCAATTGAACCATATACCCAATAAATTATTAGGACTATATTTTACTTTGGACCATTGAAAATCCTCTTTCACCTCAAAGCTGCAAACAATTTATGCATGAGAAAGCTTAAGCCGTAATGTTGAGGGGATTTTAGACAGATTTTTCTCCCAATTGGTAAATAAAAGTATGGCCAAGGGAAAGAGAGTTGCTAATGGTTTGAAGATAAGTCAGGCTCAAGTGAGGGGGAAGAGTATTGCCTAATCTATACAAGCTCAATGTGATGCAGGACAAGTAATGATAGAATCATAATTACTTTACAATATAAAGAAATAGAGGAAAATATGGGGAAGAGAATAGAAGACTAGATAGATAGAAGGAAGTACACGATTAAGTGAACACTTTTGAGGGAGAGTAGAAGAATACTACGCAGGGATGAAGAACAAGAAAGACATACAGAAATAACATATAGAAATGTAAATAAATTCACTAAAAATTGTCAATCCCAAACTTCCATAAATTGTGGATTAGAAACCTTTATATAGGTTGTAACTTTAAATAAAAAGGAAAACAATTAATAAGAAAACAAATCCAATGTTTCTAAAATTTCTTAAATAACTAAATTATTCAAACATCATCAAGATATTATTTCCTAATTAGATAAACAAAAAGAAATATCTTAAAAGGTATAAATTTATAGAGGATTCTGCATCATTCTCTTCCACTTACAAAGAACTATACTTTTGGAGTTAGAATGCAGATAGTTAGCTGAGAGCCTGGAATTCAAAGTGCATAAGAACTCATTGTCAAGCCAAACAGCAGCAAGACTTAGGAGGACGGTTCCACTCAACAAAGATATTCATGAAAACTGCCTGTAGAGGGGTTAGGTTGCAATTCTCCCTTGTTCGCAGGAACATATGCTTGAATTTAGGCCAGGTTGCACAAATATGCAAAAGCGATGCAAAAGACTCCAAGAGACCTCAATAAGTTCATAAATTCCCAACTTCAAAAAGATGATTAATATCCATATCGTCAGGTCTGTCAAGAAGATAAGTAGTTGGTCCATATTCTAAAGGACTGGGAATGGGCTAAGAGGGTGTGAGTTCAAAGAGTGTGGTAAATAATTAATCATAACAAAATCAACTTCTTGAAAAGACTCTTTAATATAATAATCAAGAAAAATAGGACCTTGGGGTGCCGGGAGACGAGAGAGCTTTTCAAGTTATAGTAGGCAAAGAGGATAAAGATCACAATTCATAGCAGCTTGAACCTCCTGAGGTTCCTTAGTATCATTAAGAGGACAAATCAGAGAAGCAACAAGACGAGAAGCGAAAACAGTTTTTTCATTACAAATTCATCTTCATCACGTTTCTCCTATGCAGTAATACCCTGTTAGCCCTAAAAATCCTCTGAGAGCCTTCAATGTTTATGGAGTCGGGCAATTAACGATGGTTTCTATTTTCGGAGTCTGTTTTTACCCATTGACAGGAGATGATGTGTCACAAATATTCTACCTCAGTCTAGAAGAAGCAATAGTTGATTGTTTGGCATATAATTTGTTTCTTCTAAGTAACTTCAAGACTTCTTCAATTTGCTTTAGGTGTTCTTGTTTAGTGGTATTGTAAACTAATATGGCATCAAAGAAGACAAGAAAGAATTTCCGTATGAAGGTTTTGAAGATGTGATTCATAAGGGTCTAAAATGTGACTGCAACATTGATAAGACCAAAAGGCATTACTCTGAACTCATAGAGACCTTGGTGTGTCCTAAAGGCAGTTCTACGTTTATCCTTTCCTTTTACTTGAATCTAATGATACCCTGCTCGAATATCAATTTTAGAAAATACAGTTGTTCCATATAATTCATCAAGAAAGTCATCAATCATGGATATTGGTGTTGAATATGATATTTTATTATTTTATTATTTAATTAGTTAATATTATGTAATTATAATTCTATTAAAATAGTAATCTGACGTAATTAAGATTCTAGTACAATATTTATTTCCTAATTAATAGTTTAACAATTCTATAAATACCTAAATGTAATAAGTTAAGGGTGAGAAATAAATTTTTTTTTTTTTTTTAATCCTAAAACTAACATGATATCTAAGCCAATTAAAGTTATTTTACTATTTTAATTTCATGATTCTTTTCAAATCTTAAATTAGCACAATATGCAGAGTTGGTACCCTTTTATCCAAATCTACTCTCATCACCACCCAAAACGGATTTGAACCCGCCGATGTTCTATGTTATTTATGGTGATTTTCAGTGGCGGTTCAAGTGCCAGTAAAAAATACAACCACACTCTGAAGACGTCAGTAAAATAGTGCGGTAGCACTCTAGAGGTACCGTTAAAATGGTGTGGCCGCACCTTGAAAGCATCGGTAAAAAGATACAACCGCACTCTGGAGGTGCCGGTAAAAAGGAGCAGCCGCATTCTTGAGGTGCTAGTAAAAAAGTGTCACCGCACATTCGCAAGCGACAATAAAAGGTGCAATCGCACATCGCAGTCGTTGGTAAAAAAGTGCAGCTGCACATCTACAAGTGTCGGTAAAAAGATATAGTCGCATATCGACAATTGCTAGTAAAAAGGTGCAGCTGCACATCCACAAGCGCTGGTAAAAAATTACAGCCGCAAATCAACACATATGGGTAAAAAAGACCACGTCATTCCATTTTTCTGCGCACGTCCAAAGATCTGTCCAGAAAAGACGAGCCTGAGCTGAGCTGCTGCCTGAGCCAAGTGAGTTTGAACCGTTTGAGCCAAGCCGCTGTGTTGTCCGACAGATCTGCTTCCTCCGCACACAAACCACTCTTACCAACATTTTCTGGTCCTTTTTCTGGCTCCTCTACAGGTGACCGCTTCTAATTTTGTGACTAGACCTTCTTCACACGCGAGCCCTTTTGACCAACCTTTTCTGACCCTTTTTTTTTACTCTTTTGCGCGTGTCTGCCTCTAATTTGGCAATCCGGCGCAAATCCGCTTCTTTTGCGTACGAGCCTTCCTGACCAGTCTTTTTTAGTCCTTATTCAACTCTTTCGCGTGCGTACGCTTCGGGTTTGCAACTCAGTTTGCAAGTTACACATGTGTGATATCCTTGCACCAACTTGAGGGAAGGTGTTGAATATGATATATTATTTAATTCGTTAGTATTATGTAATTACAATTTTATTAGAATAGTAATCTTATGTAATTAAAATTTTAGTAGAATAGTTATTTTCTAATTAGTAATTTAAAAATTTTATAAATATCTAAGTATAACAAATTGAAGGTGAGAAATAAAATTATTATTTTTCCTCCTAAAATCAACAATTGAGAACTTATCTTTTATGGTTAGAGAATTGAGCTCTCTGTAATCAATGAAGAACCTCCAGGTTGTCCTTCTTCTTGACTAATAATGCTTGTGATGAGAAAGGCGCATACTAGAATGAACAAGCGAATCATCTAGCATATTTTGTACTTGTTTCTCTATTTCGTTTTTTTTTTTTTGTGTAATGAATTTATATCAGGACTTGTATTTACCGTGGCATTCTCGTGAGTCATCGAGATGGTGTGATTGAAGACCTTGATTGGAGACAACCGTCAAGATTCCTTAGAGACATCCTTATATTGGTCAAGTAATGTTTCGAGTGTCTTGTTGAAGATCTCTTAAGTTTGTATCTCCTTTACAATATCCATCACCAAAAATAAGGTTCCGCCCTCAATTACTTGTTTTTGCTTGACCCATTTGTTTATTCAAGCCACTTTCTTACCTTAATCTCTTTTGCTTCACCAGTTAACTTACTATAAGTATTGCTTCTATTAAGCATTATGACTAAATCACCAAAGTTAAACTTAATAGTGGCTTGAACAAAGCCAAATATCATTGGACTGAATTATTTCATCCAATCGAAACTCAATATCATATCATATCTATCCAACGGAATCATGCGAAAACCGTAAAAAGACTTATATCTTTGCAGCGTCCAAGACACTTCTAAACACTCGATGCTGTTAGATATCTTTTGCTTGTTGGCTATCGTCATCATTAATGTTTTATTGCTAACCACGTGATTCTTGATTTATTCGATTGCTCCTTCGTCCAAGAAGAAGAGCAAACTTCCGTTGTCTAAGAGACCAAGATGTCATGCTTTGCTAACGTTTCTTGGATTTTGAGGATACTTCCTGTAGTCAACCATTATATTGCTTGGATGTACAAGGTACATATGGGATTTTCTCAATTCTCAACAAAGTTTTCAGGTACCTCTTTTTTTCCAAGGGCTCCCCGCTTGCAATTTCTTCCACTACCATTACGTTTTACTTGGGCAACAGTGCCCTAAAAAATAACAGTCGTCACATTTATATCAGGATGTTGTTGACTTCCTAGGCTCTATTTCCCTTCCCGTGGCTTGGGAAGCTCGCTCCTGATCCTTCCAATAGTTGGACAATTCTCCGAATGACATATAAACTCTGATACATCTCTATAATGGATTGTTCTTAGAGTAAAGTTTGCTCAAAAACTTGGTTAAAAGTACGGAGTTTGAGCAATTATATTATAAGTTGTAATTTAGGTTTGAGGTCACTGATAAAGCTTGAGATAAAAAAGTTTTCCGAGAGTGCAAGATTATCCAAATAAGACTTGCAAATATTTGAAACATTCTTTATATTCTACAATTGGACTAGTTTGTGTGACCTTTTTGAATTTTTCTTAAAATATTTTCTCGAAACACCACCAAATATGCAACAAAGCTCATCCACGAAACATTCCTACTCTGTCTCATCATCTTTTACCAACCATCCCAAGTACCACACATCCGCAACTTCGCAAAGGAAAATTGATGCTACTCCCACTTTTTGTTCCTTCTTAGTGTCGTGTATTAAAAAATACTAATCACATCTATCCAAGCACAAGGATTTACTCCTTCAAATAGTGAAATATTCTCACTCTATCTCATCATTACCAGCCATCCTCAGTACCATGCACCCGCAACTTCACCAAGGAAAATCGATACTACTCCCACCTTTTGTTCTTTTGGATTGCCATGTACCAAAAAATACTTATCACATCTCCTTATCCAGGTACGGGGATTTACTCCTCAAATAGTGGAACTTCCATTTTTGGTAGATTTGGCAGCTGACTCGTGGGATGTTAACCTGGCCGGTTGAACTAGGTTTGAGCGGTTCCCAAGGTTTCTCATCCGGTTTAGTTTGCAAACTGGTTTTAAACATCTCCCATATTTCCTCCAGTCCATATCTTTTTCTTTCATGCGGCTGGCAGCGGCGGGAGCACACAATTCCTCTCTACCCAACGAGGACGGCCGTCCGCAATATAAGATCCAGTGCTCTCTGAAGAAAAATATCGTCATGCAACAACTCTACTATGAGATCCAACTGCTATCGAGCTTGTCTATGAACTTCATAGACTTCTATCATGAAGTTGGTCAGTCGCTAGTCCACTTCCTTAACAATAGGTTCGTCAATTCTGCCTTGACGGTTTCCACTACCACCGCCTTTCTTTTAGATCTGGTGGGGAAGCTACCGAATCATAGATCTCCGCCGGTTCAAATAGCTTTAATACCACTTTTTCAAAACCTTTATTCCTGATTCCAACTTAATTTGGTAAATAGAAGACAATGTTTAGTCCACAGAGAGAGAGCGATAGAGAGAAGAAAGGAAACTCAGATTGATTCAAATGATTAGGCATTGATTTCTTCATTCAATTACAACCTGCTTAAAGGCGAAATCGGGGTAGGAAGTGCCAGTTTGATAGGCGCTCCTGCTTGTTACAGAGATGGTTGCACCGGTTGCAACCGTTGTAACGAGTTCTAGTTACAACAACCGACATATCATTCCCTTCAAGAACCTTCTATCAAGGGTGTGAATCCTATTTTACCCTTTTATATTTTTACTCTTTTGCCTTCTGTAAATTTATTACCATTTTAGCCCTCTTTCTATAATACACTATTCATGGTTTTATTACACCTTCATCCTCACATGCTCTTCTTTTATGTAGCTACCTCTTTTCGTGAAGCATCAAGATAAGTTATTTGATAGCTCTTGTGATTACTCAGGAGTAGGTAAAGTACTCCCCTTTAGTAATCTTTCAACATATATTGTGTAGGGTTGGAGAGGGATATTTTACTTTCTACAAGAAAGTTGATGTTTTAATAGACCACCTCGATCAACGGAGATGTTACATCCTGCCTAAGAACCTGATCTCATAGTTAAAGCCACTTAATCTTGAAGTATTTGTCTTTAAAATGGAAATTGCAAAACACTCATGATAAGTGTATGGATTCTCTAATCAATAACCCTTTGGTCAAAAGCAGTTTCTGTGTTAGTGACAGTGTAGACGATGTTTTTTAATAGGATAACCAACTCTTGCTTAAGGCTTTTATTTGGGTACATGTTTACTTAAAGCAAGATAACAGCATTAACTTGCATTATTGAGTTTACTAGTAACTCTTTTGTTATTCGATCCATTAGAACAATGACGTTTTCACCTTTCTTCATGTATATTCACCACATTTGCCTATCGATTTTTTTGATAATTCTTTTCATAATTCTTGTCTCTCTTAGCCAACTATATCTATTGACCAACATATTGCTGGTTTGTATACTAAATCAAATGTAAAGACTACAATGAGTAACACAGAGTATAAGCTTATTAGAGTTATCCAATGTAGGATCGAAGAATCTTTAATGGTGACCATATTATTATTTGCACTAGAACTCAGTGCTGTCTTTTCCTTCTTAAGAATTTAAACACCACAGAGCTATATTTCATTTCGAGAAGCTTAAACCTAATACCTATTTACTCGATTTACCTAGTCATGTAAATTTTAGTTGGGTTTTCACCAATCATCATTGAGGATTTGTCCCTAGTCAAGGCAATATCGAGCCTCTTACTTCTCCTACAAGTGATTTGGCAGATACTTAGTTCTTAATGCCCTTACATTTTTGTTACTATCAAAAATACTACCGTAGGTATTTTGGTTAACGGATACATTATTTTTATAAGTAGAGGTTTCTATGTATTACCAAATCTTTTGAAAGCTCATCCAAATTCAAGCATTTCATGGAAATTGCAGAGAAATATTTCATGATGGATTCACACTTGATGACTATTATCAAGGATTTGTCATTGAGTTGATTCTTCTAGAGAGAGGGAGAATAATCTGGGACCATCAAGCAGTTTTTACTAACATAGGATTACTACAATGACTATTATATGTTAGCAAGACTTTCACACCCATTATATTGTCTTAAGGTTTTATTCTTAGTTAGTAATCATATTTTGTTCTTGTTTACCAATTTAGCAATTCTAGACAATATTATGCCAAGTAAACACCCTATAAATACACGGGTAATTAGATTTTGAATGTCACGGCTTACCTTGAGCTACCGATATGTTATCGTAACTGTTTTGGAAATATATTTTAATGGAAACATCTTAAGCCCTATAAAACTAGGAAAAGTAGCTTGCATGTATAACATGTAGTAATACTGAAACAATATAGAAAAATGCATAAACTTGTGAGAAGAAAGTGCAAAACATACAGGAAAATAGCCTAATTTATAATGCTATAAAATTTATAAGGAACTATTTTCAATTGAACACAACAGCATTGATAAAGCTTTAATCATAATTAAGAGTGACACAAAGGTAAATCTAAAGATTACGAGTTTCTTCCAGATCCCATGCTCGGTCTCAAATTTGAACTAGCATTCCTCATCTCTTATGCATGCTAACTGCCTTGCAAATCACCAGAATATATGCAAGGCTTATAAATAAGAATATAATTTCTCAGAGACAAAAATAAGTCACACATAGGCAAAGCGTGAAAAGAAATTGAAACTGTAAGACTTGCATGCTCCAATAATATCATTTTTCTCAGCCACAATCAAGTACATATAATCAATATTGAATTCTTACTCACATCTATTCCGAGAATTCTGGTGACACCATACATGTGATAGAGGCCACAGACAATTTCCCTAATCACAGTGTTTAGCCCAGGGCACAGACCACCGCATGTTACTATGCAAGCATGCACTTCATCCGAATGAAAATAAACCTGTCCCAAGACTGCTTATCAAAAAGATGCATGCTGTTTACTACCACAAACATAGATTTCAGACATCTTAAACAAACCTTTTGCCGAGGTCCTGCGCGTCGAAAGTGCGTCCCTCTTGGACTGTCCTTGTGAACAACAATCTACAAAATCACAAATGCAAACGAACTGTCACTCTGTTATTGTATCTGTGTGTTATGACAAACTCAAATACACAGAATTTCCGTTAACGAATAATTATTTGTTTGGTTTAGTAAACAAATTATGGGCTCCTGACAATCAGATCTCTAACAAATAGGAAGTCCAGGAATTTTAACTGAACGAAACTATAAAATAGCAGTCAAGAAATAAGAACCGTGATCCACCTTTTGAGCAACCGTGTCATCGTCATTTACAAAATACTGCCTGAAATCACAGAATCGACAATCAATTTTCTTCCTCTAATCATTAATCACCTTAAGCACACAAACAATAACTAAAAAAAATCAATCAGCTACTGCTTCAGTTTGGAACGAATCGAACTTTGATGGAAATTCATATTTAATAAATTACGCTGACAAAATTATAAAAATCAAACAACTAAACAATTTTAATATAAGGGGAATTAAGAAAATATATTTCAAATTTTATTAAAATTGGTAAACTCCTACTTAATTCTTACTTTTTCTTTAAATTGCTTAGATATTATATTTAAATTAAATGTTAATTTTTAAATAAAACTTCAGAATGAAATTCATTTGTTCCAAATACATGCTAGGGCAATATTTTTATACACGAAAATAAAAATTTTCACTTACTTAACCGCTGAATAAGCGGGATTGAATTGCAAAGGATTTGAATATGTCTGCATCGAAACAATCGCCGAAAAATAAATTAATAAAAAGACAACACAGTTGAAGAGTGCAAGAATATATTCCTAAAGAAAATAAATCGCAAGACTCCATAGAACTCCACCGAAAAAAAGATGGAGAAGAAGTTCTCAAAATCCAGTATAATCTTAAACGGCAATAACAAGAGAGAGAGAGAGAGAGAGAGAGAGAGAGAGATGTCGTCATTCCAAGGCAGCGGTAGAGATATCAAACCAGTTTTAAGTAAATCAAACAAAATGTTAGAGGAAATGTCGAGATGATGAGATCACTGATTCAAATAAGCAGCAGAGAAATGCATAGAGAAAGAAGAAGATGACGAGATCAGAGACAGTAGTATACAGGGAGATCAGAAATGTAATCAGTCAAGTGAGGAACATCTTCGAGCACGTAACCGGCATCACCGTCAATGCGTTTCATATGTGATTTACAATCAAACCCCATGTATACCAGATCCCCTGTATCTCTTTCTTTCCGCAAGTTAGAGCAGAGTAAATATACTGGCGGAGGGAAAGTTCTTCAAGTGTCGGATTTTCAAGATGGTTCATATATCGGTGGAGATTGAAGGGCGTGCCTTCGAAGCCGAATATATAGGGCCGTGTTTGGGGAGAATGAGAATATAGCTCTCCATACCTGAGCGGACAAATAGCGGCACGTGAGGGAAGAAGAAAGCGACGTCGTGTCAAAGTTTTTTCTTTTTCTTTTTTTTTTTTTGAGGAAAAACAGGTGGCGGACACAGGATAAGTTTTCACTGCTTACTTGTGTCCTACTCCTGTCCCCCCCGTCGTTTTCGTTTTGATAGCCACTGCGTGCCGCCACACTCAAAAATTTTCAATTGCATTAAATATTATATTGTTCGAGTTAAATATCACATCTGAATATTATATTATTTGAGTTAAATATTTTATTTCATATTTTAATATTTATACATCATAAATATTCTATCATATATAATATTTATACTAGAATGAGAGAATAAAATTTTTTCTTATCCACATAAATGTATTATTTAATTATAATTCTATAGATGTTATATATATTTTTTGTTATTAACATTTATTTATTTGTTTATTATGAAAAATTATATAATTAATAATGGTTATCTAATAAAAAGGTAAAAGATATTATTTATTTGATTTTAGATGTGTGCAAGTCTAAAATTTTTGAAGAATTTAGTCATAAAAATAATTTTTTGTGTGTGAAAAAATAGATAACGGACACTAGTATTATTTTTTATACCTAAATAAAAATTATTGATTATAGTAATTATGCTGTCGTACAATTTTATTAAATTAAATATATTTTATAATAAAAAAAATTAAATATGTGTTATTAATACCCAAGTTACTATAATAAAATTAAATAAAATAAAATTGAAAATAAATATGCATAGGTGTATACTAATCATGCATGAGTATAAGTTAAATTTATTTTCATTAGTCTTATAATTATTAGTAAATCATTATTTTGAAGATTTAGTGAAATTTTATATTTATTGTGACTAGTTTAAATATTTTTAAAATTAAAAAGTAAATAATTTAATTGATATTTGTTAATCAAAAATATTGTAAAAATAATAATTTGAAATTTAAAAAATTTTATATTTTTTTTTGTAATTCTAGCATTTAAATTATTTTTATATTATAGTGTAAGTTAAAATAGTAATTATTCAACTATGTTTAAAATTAAAAATTCATAATTTATTATCGACATATTTAAATATAAAAGGTACGGTCTAACTTTAAAAATATCTAATTTCTATAAAAAAAAATTACATTTAAAATTTTAAAAAATATTTTAACTAAATTCATAATTTTTATTTTTTTTTAACTCTCAAGAGCTATTTTTATAAAATATTAAATAATTTTTTATTAAAAGCAGAATTTTACCAACTTATCGAATGCCCATTTGCAAGCATATTAGATATTTATCCTTTCGTATTTTTATCTGTTTAGAAAACTTTAGCAGCCAGCCAGGCGGGCGGCCACCTATTGTATTATGCTTCTTACCATGAGCAAGCTCGTTGATTTGGTATAAACAGGTAGCTCAAGGAACCAAATCTGGAACCCTCTTTCCCTCTCCCTCTCGATCTTCCAGGTAAAATAAATATTCAGTCTTCGTCAAGTTGAAAGATTATTGTTTTGAAGGAACTCGCAAGACGGAAATGGGAATTCCATCGGGAATGAGGGATTTTTGGGTGCACAGCAGAAACAATTCATTGCTGATCGCGTCTCCCTCTGAGAAAGACTTGAGAGCTCAGCAAGCCGCTCAAGGTTTTCTACAGCCCTAGCTTTGTTACTGATAGCAATCTAGGAAAACTTATGAATTTGATTAATTTTGGGCGAAGTTTTGAAAATTTGATCGGAAATTGTAGGATCCGGAGTTCCTTTTTAGTTTTATGCTTTATTTTGATATTTTACCTGTTACGACATCATAATTTTCTGTAGATTAATATTCATGTAATCTGCAGATAGTGCTGTTGCAGGAGCCAAGGCAGCTTCCCTCGCTGCTGTTGTAGCTGCAGTGCCAACTGTATGTACTATGTTATGATTTGTTCAATATTTCGTTTCCCTCTTTTAACCCTTAAATCGATTCGACCACGATAGTCTAGTTTAGTTTTAGTTTGAATTTAGTAAATTGCACAAATCGAATTAAACTCTGCGGTTCACAATGGATCCTCATGATCTGCCCTCAATTCATGATACATTCCGATTCATTTTTTACAGTTCGAATCATTTTGCAACTGAGTGAATTGCATTGTGAATCATACGTTTCTAACAACAATGTTTTTATTTGCTTATTATTAGTTATTGAAGCTAATAATAATAATTGGGAAGTTTTATTAAAGATGAGAATTACCACAAGGATGCATATAGCTTGCTCCTCATAACAAGAATATAGCCAAAAGATGTAATCATGGGTATTGTCCCTTTGCTCTTTTTGACATGGCAGCAAGAGCCATTCGGCTTTTGTTGAATCTGTAGGCAACTGGAAGATCTTCTCTTATATATATAATTTGTTTGATGAAAAGTCCATCTTTTTTTTTTCTGAGCATTTATTTAATCAACTCGTAGTAGGTGAACCAAGGTTTGCTAGGTTAAGGTGTTGATTCTGGTCATGAAGCATGCATGTTCAGTAAAAATAGGGGTTGACTTTAGTTTATTTGTTGGATTATATAATATTCAACTTCCAAAACCAAAGGTCTCATGTAATGTATGGCATTGTTAATAAGTCACAACTGTGGCTTGCATAGTGTTTTTTTTCCCTTCGAGGAGTTTCATCTCTTAAATCAACGATTTTGTCTAGCATAATGCAAAAAGGAGTGGAGTTTACTTGGCTGAATATTATGGTATTACAGGGTTCTTGCATTGAAAGATTATGTGCAATTAGAGTGTGTCCTTCAGTGTGCAAAAATGAGAATATGAATAGGTGATGTAGATCCAATTGGACTAATTTGCCTATTTAAGATTTTGAGAATAATACTTAGATATCACTGCTAGGTTTTCTTAAATATCATACCTAAGAATTCTTAAGCATGTTCTTAAAGGTTTGCTTACATCACACGACAAGAAAGATTGAAAAAATTCTTAATTAAATAATTGCTCTTATCTCAAATTGATATAATATAAGATATTTATATTACTTCCTAAGTGACCTTTCCCATATAGAATTAGACAAAGAAATGCTAATTTTGATAAGAATAGAAACACTAATGATAATTTTTTTTTGAAATAGCACTAGTCATAATTAACTTAGAGAAAACATAATTTAAATCCTAAGTAGTTAGATACTAAAATAAATAAAAGTAACTTCCTACATAACGTAGCCATTGCCATGCGCCACCTATTTTCTTTGGGTAGAAAAACCTCAAACTCATTGAGTTGGAAGCTGTTAAAACCAAAAGCTTGGCAATATATTGGGTTAGGAATTTTGCATGAATGAACATGCACCATTTTTTCCACCTTGAAATGGGTGTAGCTATATCTATTTGTCCCTTCTAGTTTTTATCTTGCCAAAGGTTGGAGTTGGTTTTCTTTAACTTTAAGAACTTTAGATTCACGGGTCTTTTTCTCATCATAGTTTTTTGTTTTTTTGGATGTCTCTTTATATTAGTGATATTCATGGTTTTGGAACAATCTTGCTTTTTTCTTTGTATAAAAGGAAAAGAAGTACCAAGGTGTGCTTGATCACAGAAGGGGCGACTAAGGAGGATATGTGTAACATTCATACCAGTGATGTTAAGTAAGATAGAATTGTTGTAGGCACCACATTGAAAAGAAACGTCTTCAAGTTACTGAGATAGTTTTGTTATCGATTCATGCTACTTCGTAAGTTTGTGGATATGGGTGTCTTGGCAAATTGAGACGCTCCACTGTTGAAGCTGAAACCACATTCATGCCACTTCTACTTTCAATAGCAAGCTTTTTAGCTTTTGTTCCACAATAAATTAACAGTAATTTCAATTATATTAGCATGATAACTATCATCTTTCTCCACTTTAGCAGTTGCTAAGTTGCGTTTCATTACAGAGGAGGGAAAGGTTTCTGTTGTTCATCATCAACTAAGTCATCGTATTCATAGGACACATAAACTCCTTTCTTCTAGGCATCTCCTTTTCTTGTTCCTTGAGTTATTTTTTTTTGGCATTGGTGAAGCATATTGCTTGGCTTTCACACCTGAAGCAGACTATTTCTTTATATTTAACGTTGGATGTGTTAGAAGGTGATCATGCAACAATAGCGCAATTAGATGTTTGTTATGTAGAATTTGTTCCTGCCAAAGTTTTCTTCTGAGTTCCTTCTAGAGGTCGATTCTCCAGATGAGAATCCAATCTTCCTTGACATTTTGTACTTTAAGTAGTCCTCTATGTCTAGGTAAGTTTCGTACATCTGGACCATGATTGCAGTTCCACTGGTAATTCATCTATTCCTCAGGGCAAAAACTTGCCTCAAGTCATTGAGGTAATTGTCCTTTCCAAAATCTATGTCCAGCAGAAATAATTCATGGGGTTTTTTGTTGAGTCCAAGCAAAAACTTGTAGAGCCTCTTCCTTTCCACAGTCTATCTGTACGTCAGGGCAGTTCCACTGGTGCCCTTCGAACATGTGGATCTGCTGCCATTTTTTTATTAGTGTGTTATAGTATTGGGTTAAACTGAGGTCCCCTTGCAGCAAGTCATGCAACATGCTCTCCACTGCAAGCAACTCAGATGAGTTATCTATT